TAGCCTGACGTTACGTCGGTTTATTCATTTTTTTTTCGAAGAACGTAGAGTAAACAACATTGATGAACACGATCGTATTGTTAAATATTTCACATTTAATTCAAACAACTTGGTAACAACAACAAACAACGATGGTACAACGCAGAGTAAAATGTTTGGCCATGTTTCTACTGTATAAAAGTAAACACATACCTAAACATGTTCGGTTTAGGATACTTTTTCCTTGTACACCCTGTATTACGAAAATGAAACAGTCGCTGATATACGAACTTTTATATGGGATGGATACTTTACCACTATTTGTTGGATTCTGAAAGATATTTGGCTAATGCAAGAGACTTGGCAACGTCTTTCTCTGGTACCGGAAAAAATGCGCAAAGATATATTTTTTAAATAGTCTAAAGTGTCACCTTTTGTCTGAAATCGACTGGGAGCACGAAATATACTTTTTCCTCCGGAAAAGTTGAAATTACTAAACTTGGGCGATTTATCGAGCAGAATGTTCCCATACATATGAAGTTTCATAAAGTTTACAGTTTTTTTCTTAACATAATTTAAGAATGACTAGAGGGAAGTAAATTTGGTAAGAACAAAGTGGTCACGTTTTAGCAGTGGCTTCCTCCCTTATTTGATTTAATCCAGCCAAATTTACGAGTCTTTTTTTTTATAGAAAATAAAAAGATGAAATGTTTGATTTTTATAGCAATCCAGATCTCGAAGTGTGTAACATTTTGAAATGCAGCAACAGATACAGGACGTTTCAGAATAACGTACCATAAATTCTAAGGGTAACAAAATATTAAAAAATAAATTTTTACTGATTTCTGAAGGAACTTATTAACCACACTTCATATGTGTACAATACACTTTTTCGAAAATATAAAAAGAAAACGGGTACTTATAATTATTAAAAGGATCAATTTACAGCGTAAGAAATCAGCATATGATATTCTGAATATATAAATAGAGTATTTTAATATTGCCAATTTTATTCTAAAATATATAATCATTAAAAATCTATATACACAAACTATACTTTACTTATTTCCGTTGAAAATTTAAAAAAAATATGTTACATAATAAAAAATAATTTATTAACAATGTTAATTAGAGCTGTCGGATCATCAACATAAAATAAAGTGAACAATGATTAAAAGATTTATGTTCATTGTGAAACACGTAAATTGTTTTACGCATCCCTGCCATCGATTCCACTTAGGTGGGATCCCCTTATAGATCGCATCATTAGGTATGTTTCTAGCCTTGTTTCAGCGAAACTTATCCGCCGCTACAGAATATCCTAACTACACAGACACAGAAGCGACAAAGTGGTTCCCGCGTAAGTCGATTTCCAGTGCGCATGTGCTAAAATCGCTATGGAAACATGTTTTTTTTCCGTCAAGTAACCAAGCTTATTTAGGCAATCAATAATAATTCTATCCATCCTCACTTTTGAACGTGTTGTTTACTTGTGGTGTGTTGTATTTATATTTTGTGTTTATTGTGTATTGTGTATTTATTATTAGTATTTATTTATTCTAGACTTAGTGTGAGTGATTAGTAGAGAGCGGACAATGTGTGTCTTTAACCCGAAGAATAGGTCAAATTTTGGTAGAGATGTGTACGCATTCAAAAATGTATTGTGTATAAACTATGCAAAATATAATTATTATGTATAGCAAATATATCGTATTATCCTCGCGAAGATTTGTACCCTTTATTTAAAATCCATAAATCATGTGAACAGGTTAAATAACGAGAAAATAATTAAGTTAATTTAGTTCTAAAGAAATGAAATGACACTCGCGCCCATCTCTAGTCCATCCGTCGACATCGGTTGCGTTTATCGAATTCCTATTGGTCAGAATTCAAACTGCAGCCCTGTTATGAATGGAGCGTGAGTTGGACTATTCTATCATGTGCGTCGCCTGAGGCTATTCGTTACATTGACTCCTAATTTCCAATTAAAAGAACGACACTATTTTTAACCGAACTTTATTTAATAAATCTGTAGTATACAATTTCTGATTTTCTAATTATTTTATAACACCTAAAAATGTATGTAACGTGGAATTATCGTGAATTATCACGTAAATTTCCGATGCATATCCCACACACCACTGCGTCATGGATAATGTATATAGGTTTATGAATGACATATCTATGTTCAAGGTTAAAGACACAAATTGTCCGCTCTCTAGTGATTAGTATTAGTAACTATTTAAACAGACATAATATTTGTGATGTATCGTCAAGGGGGTTATTATTGTATTTGTCGAGGGTGCCTATCCAAAACAGGTAGATGACTAAGCTTCTTTCCATTCCCGAAGACTCGAGCAGGTATGTGTAATAATTAGCTATGTATTACAAAATTTGAAATATATAGAATGTATACTAGAATTATTACGTATATCTTCTGATAATTAATAAAAATCTAAATTTATGTACATTATATACCTAAATAGCATTGAATGAAATAAACTAAACAATTTTCTTTTAAAGCTTCAGCATGGTTGAGAGCGTGCAATAGACAGGATCTTCTCGAGAAAAATCCGACTTTGCGAGATACATTTTGACCAAAGGTGGACTTCGGAAAACTTTATTTGTTACCTTTGTATACAATGTTACAAATACAGGGTGGTCCGTAAGTAATGGCCCATAGAGAAATACTGGATTCTTTACTTTTAAGATTTTTTAATAATAAGAGCTCGTTACTTAAAACTTACTCGTTACTTAAAAGCTTTACGTTACTCATAAAAAAAGTTACGCTCACATTTACGNATACAATTTCTGATTTTCTAAATATTTTATAACGCCTAAAAATGTATGTACCGTGGAATTTTCGTGAAGTATCACGTAAATTTCCGATGCATATCCGACACACCACTGCGTCATGGATAATGTATCTAGGTTTATGAATGACATATCTATGTTCAAGGTTAAAGACACAAATTGTCCGCTCTCTGGTGATTAGTATTAGTAACTATTTAAACAGACATAATATTTGTGATGTATCGTGGAGGGGGTTATTATTGTATTTGTCGAGGGTGCCTATCCAAAACAGGTAGAGGACTAAGCTTCTTTCCATTCCCGAAGACTCGAGTAGGTATGTGTAATAATTAGCTATGTTTTACAAAATTTGAAATATATTGAATGTATACTAGAATTATTACGTATATCTTTTGATAATTAATAAAAATCTAAATTTATGTACATTATATACCTAAATAGCATTGAATGAAATAAACTAAACAATTTTCTTTTAGAGCTTCAGCATGGTTGAGAGCGTGCAATAGACAGGATCTTCTCGAGAAAAATCCGACTTTGCGAGATACATTTTGGACAAAGGTGGACTACGGAAAACTTTATTTGTTATCTTTGTATAAAATGTTACAAATACAGGGTGGTCCGTAAGTAATGGCCCATAGAGAAATACTGGATTCTTTACTTTTAAGATTTTTTAATAATAAGAGCTCGTTACTTAAAACTTACTCGTTACTTAAAAGCTTTACGTTACTCATAAAAAAAGTTACGCTCACATTTACGTCACATACATGGCTTATGCGGTGCCCTCTAGAATATACATCGAAATAAATAACAGATGATCTCTCGTACCAAAAACATTTATCTTAAAATTCTTACATTCTTATATTCAGTAACATAATTATTACCAAAATTCAATTTTTAACTTCGACACCCTGTATTTTTATTATCAATATTTTATTAAGAAATGTTGGCTCAATCGTAATATTTTGAAGTAAAGGATCTAATGTTTCCCTAGAGGCCATTACTTATGAATCGTAAATAATATTGTATATTTAATATTAAAAAAATAATTTCTTTTTTGTGGTATTTGGATTTATTTATAACTATATTTCATCTACACGAAATTTTTAATTATAGTAGTAAAACAGATGCGTATCATGTGTAAATCAAATTAGCTTTTTTTTTAATTAAGCATAAAATCATGCCTTACATCGACAACCAGTGTAATATAATTTATGTCCAACTGATTGTTTTATGGCACAACTATTGAAAATTGTACTGGAATTATGGATTATATTATTCATTCATATAAAAATTTAAAGGCTTAATATCTCAAAGTAAATTTTATAAACTGTTTTTTCAGTATATCTCTGATAACCTTTCTCTCAGTGTAACATGTTGTTCACCACCGTTCAAGGTCGAATATTTTCACCACGCCAACATCAAAGGAGACGCCGTTTATGTCGCTTCTGTGTAGTTAGAATATTCTGTACCGCGGCGGTGATAAAATATGAGAGCGATCGTTCGACATCTACTGACGAAATATTTCAATAAGTAATTAATCTACTTTCAAGCTGGTTCAACATGGCGCCAATGGCTAGCGGACCAATTGTGACAGCTCTAGTGATAATGTAAGTGATGAAACATATCACTAACAATAAAAACATATGTGAATACAACACTAGCTTTGACATCATAATTGATAAGTAATAAGATTTCTTATTTCATAATGCTCACCTAACGACTACCTATAACCTCCTAATGTTCTATTATCTTTAATATAATTTTTCTTTCTTCATGTATTTATATCACAGAAACACATTTTTAGCCAACTAGGCCTAACTTTTCTTCTAATATCACCCCCTAACAACTATGACAAAAAAATTAAAATAGTTAAAACTTTAATTTAAATGTATATTTATTATTCAACTGCTTTTGAAAAAAAATCAGATTGCAGCGTCTGGATTAATTATACTCCTCAAATATCCTTCCTTAGAGTGCGAACACCCTGTATATTGCTACACCTTTAAACAGTAAATGATAAAGATTTTGTAGATGAATAAATCTGGTTAACAATGCCAGTCATCGCCATCATTTTAAAAAACATTCGGAGACTATCAAAAGCTGATTTCTTTGGCTAGGTATCAAACACACAGGTGACCTACGATAATCACTGTATAGGGAGCAAAGTTTCGTTATTGTCACTAAAAAATATCGCTGCTACAGACAGGTCGTCATATCGTTTGCCACCGAAATAAAAGCACGAGTACCACTAACACAGTCGATGAGGAACAGCGAGGCGAAGCTGATCGGGGCACCCCATCCGCAGGCACGTGGTTGTTGTCCACGAAATTGGCCCTCGAAGGAGCCTCCACAGTAGAGAGCGTTGAGGTCCGGGACCTCTCAACGACGCCGTTTGGCGCCTCCTCGTCCTGATCCCGCTCAGCTGACCCGAACTGCTCGTTATAATCCTCCTCGTCCAGAGATAAGCCGTAGACCCTAGTTGGCCCTGGTATTTCTGAAAATACGGGGTGGTCCATTAGTGTGGCAAAGTCCAATTGTTTTATTTATTTGTATGTCTACTAGTTTCACTATCCACACTGAGAAAACCCAATTACTGTTTACTACAATTAATGTTTTAAAACATTTTTTTAAGTTCAGAGGAAAAATCAAAGTCCAGTAATATATTTCTGAAGTCAAGTGAAGAAGTTATTTCAAAAGTGTGGTAAAAAATATGAGAAATGGGAAAAGTTGAAATAAAAGAGCCCAAAAATTTTAGTTCAAACAAAATCAGAAGCTCGGTAAAAAAATAATAAAGGGACAACTCAAAAGTCTAGTAAAAAATAATTTCCAAGTACAGTGACCATAAATCAAAGACAAAGTCCATTTACAAGATTATTTTAAGGTCAAATAAAAAAAAATCTAAAGTACGGTGAATGAGATAATTAAAAAATTTTGTAACAAATACTAGAAAAGTTGTAACCTCAACAATGAAACAAAATATTTAGGTCCAAACCAAAAGTACACTAAGAAATAATTCAAAAATTCAGTAAAGAGGTAAAAGTTCTGTGAGAAAAAAATAAGAAATCCAGTAAATATAAAGATAACTAATTTCAAAAGTCAAGTGAAAAAAATTCAAAAGCCTACTGAACAAAATAAACAATATAATTCAAAAATCCAATAAAAAACATTAGGGGAAACGCTGTATTCCTGACAATGCAATATGTATTTGAATTCGCTGTAAAACTGCCCCTTGCCACACTAGCGGACCACCCTGTACATCACGCTCTCGCTTGTTTGTCGTCATAATACGACTTGATGCATATATTGGAACAAATGCGGAGAAGGCGATGATAAAGGGCGTCTTTTTATAATGCCGTGCCTTAGAATAAGGGTTACCGTGATGAATTGGGTAAACCAACTTTGTTTTATACGGGCCGTGGAAGTTTGCACTCGCCGAACAATTTGTCCGAATCGATTTGTAAACATTTGCACGGGAATCATTTTTCTGAGAGGTTTCGCAAATTGTCTTTTGTCTCGATACAGCTGTAGGACGTACAAGAAACAAATTGCGCCCTATTGAATATAATCTGCCTAAATGGTATAATGCTTTCGTTGTGTTTTTCTTTCTTTCACGCGTTATCAGATATTCAAGTAGGGGGAATACATTTCTTAAAATGTGAAATAAAAACTTCGATATTCTTCAAAACACTGCTAGGAACTTTTATTCCCTTGAAATACTTTATCTGGCTTTATTTCCTTTATCATTGGGCCAATAGAATAAAAAAATAAAATATTAAGATGGAACATATATATATGATTAAGAGGAATGGTTAAGTATTTTACAATACCATATGGGCATCGTCTATTAAATGGTTCATATACTTCATATGTCCACTTCTCAATAGTTACCAAGATACAGACGGTTGTATATAGATTTAATGTTATTAAGTCAACTATTTGATATTCACAACAAAGTTTCGACTTAAGAAAAATAGTTAAAAATCTGACCCCTAGCCTAACATGCCTCGTTCGTGTGAATATTCTTTGTATGGGGAACGTATAAAACTTACCGTCCATATGTACGTGTTTCTCGTATCATGTTTCATTTCTTCTTTATTAATGTCACTCTGACTATAATGCTATAATCATGTTCTTCGTTACATTTTTAAATCATATTTCATGAAGCTCTGAATTTCCCGTTATCACCAGGAACTTGGTCTCGAATAATAATTAACAACACATTTCCTGGGTCGAAGTTTGAACGCCTTCTTCGCAAACTCCGCGAAATTAGTTCTACCGCATCTCGCTTGGTGGGATTCAAAACTGGTCCGAAATTTTTTGATCTAGGGCCCTTCTATCTATGTCATCATGATGGCTTTGACAAACTGTAATCTCAGGCGGCATGGATCGATTACCGCCTTAGCCACTCTAAGGCGATTTGGCTCAAAAATTAGAAAGTGTAGCTAAAACTTATATTTTCTTATCCAGTGCGTTGTTGTGTCTTTGGAGGCTTAAGATATGCCACTGATGGCGGCAGACAAGCGTTTTTCATCATTGTTACGAATTCCTTTTTGACAATTCGAAAGTATAGTAAAAATAAAGTGACAGGCGATTTTTGATTCGTGATACAATACCATTACGGTCGCTCCGTGATCTAAATATCTCAACTACTTTTGAGTAACTGTCACTTCCTAAAACCAGTCGTGACATCCTAAATTATTTCTTTGTATTTTGTTAAAGTATGGCATCGCAACGCACGAAGGAATATAGGCATCTACAGAATTCTAGAGTATGCGACAGATGAATAATTTCGCACGGCGTCAGATCTGCATTTATTGATTTTATAAAAAAGTGAATGTTGACATCTATTTTTAAATACCCTTTCCTCGACATAAATTTATTAGTAGACAAGAACACAGGTCACTAGGACAGACTGAAATAGAAACGTCGACAGAACTCAAATGTAGGTACTTTTTTGCTAACTAATATACGACTATCCCTTACAATTTAGAAATAACGTTTTGAGGGATGATAATTCCAGATATATCTTAATTCGACTGCAAAAATTAACACAATCAGTTATGAAAATATAGCCTGAAGATTTCATGTTGGCAACGCGTTTTTATAACGAGCGTTCAAATAAAAACGTGGTCAAGTTGGTTCTGAAAATTTGGACGTAGGGCGTAGCGTATAGCAAATGAACTTAAACGTCATCTGTCAAAGCGCTATATCGCCGCTATCAATTTGAATATTTTCGTTTTAAAAAGCTTTTGAAATGGTGTTTTCTCAAGAACAAAAAGTGTTTATCATAGAGTCCTACTTTAGAAATGGACGCAAGATTGATGGAATATGGAAGTATTCTATTGAGGAATGTTTCATAGAATTTCAAAATCAATTTCCCGGCGTTGTTGAGTACAAAATTTTTCAAAGTGCAGTTCAGCGTTGTGTTAATGTTTTTCGTGAAACGGGCAGTGTAACAAGAACAGAAGGAAGCGGCCGACCTAAAAAGCGGACTGAAGAATTAAAAGAAAATGTCCAACAAATAATGGAAAATGCGCCAAGAACTTCTGTACGTGTTTTATCACAAATGGTGGGAGTATCAGTCGGTACCTGCCACACAGTTTTAAAAAAAGATTTGCGCTTGTTCTCCTATCGTTTAACTTGTCAGCAAGAACTTCATGAAGTTGATTTTCCGCGACGGGCTGTATTTTGTGAATGGTTTTTAAACAACTACGGTGAACTTCATAATATCATCTTTTTTTCTGATGAAGCCTGGTTTCATTTAAGTGGTTACGTAAACTCACAGAATATGAGAATGTGGTCTTCTGATAACTTTTTTGTCGAGGGCCCTCTACACGCTCAAAAGATTGGAGTTTGGTGTGCTCTCAATCGAAGGAGGATTTATGGACCTATTTTTTTTATGGTACTCTTACTGCGCAAAGGTATAGAGAAGAAATTATCGCTCCTTTTGTTAACCAGCTGGAAGAAAACGAAATTACAAACTTTTACTTTCAACAAGATGGCGCAAGGGCACATACGGCAGGCGAGACGATGAATATGTTGAGGGAAGTTTTCCAAAATCGACTAATAAGTCTCAATGCTGAACATGAATTTCCACCGAGGTCATGTGATATTACGCCGTGTGATTTCTTTTTGTGGCCTTACCTTAAAAACACTATTTTTGAACTGCCTATTCCTGATTTAAACCATCTGCAGGCTCGACTTACAGACAAGATTCTTGAAATTAACAATACCCCGAGCATCTTAGAAAATGTCTTTAATTCTTTGACGAACAGGTGTGAAAAGTGCTTGGAACAAGGAGGGGGACACTTTCAGCAGCTGCTTTAATTTATTGTTATAACAAGGAGGAGGACACTTTCCGCAGCTCCTTTAATTGTTTGTTATTGTTATCATGATTATTCTTTAAAATAAAGTTATATAGTCATTAACGTTATTGAAACTGACAGCTGCTATACAGCTCGTTGAGAAATGAGGTTAAGTTGGTCGCTATAAGCTACTCCCTACGTCCAATGTGTCAGAGCCAACTTCGACCACGTTTTTATTTGAACGCTCGTTATCTTCTTAATCAGTTGAATCATCAGTACCAAATTTGATACCTAGATACTTTTGGCTATTGAGTGAAATTTGAGTGAAATGTTTATACAGTGTACTATACAGGGTGAATTAAAATCAATCGATAAGAATTTTATTATTAAAGTCAAAGGAATATGCGCTTTAAAGGTTGTAGTTAAATTTTGATACACCCAATATAGTTGGATCTATTACTGTGTAATTATAAAATTTAATAAATTCCTGTTCTAGTTTTATAAAAAACATTTTTTTTATTAAGGAATTCACATTAATTAACTGAAATAAGCAACTCTGAAGTTGTATTGGTTTCGTCAATAAAAAAAGTCTTATTAACATCCTTTCTGGTACCCTACGCATACTCATTAAACTCCGTTTATTTCTCTGCTCCTAAACTAACTCGTCTAGACCCAAACCCTACAGACTTCTAATAAAAACGGCACGATGGTATATTAACCACCCCTTTACTTCGCCTTCTGCATCCTAAACGAAACTTTTAAAGGGCTTCCAGTACGTGGAATGGAGTACACACGTCTTAAAACTTACCGTAAAGGCGGATATTGCTCTCCACCTCGCCCAGGGAGTTCTTGGCGATACAGCGATAAGAACCGGCGTCTTCCTTCTGGAGGTTTCGCACAATTACGGTCATTTTCACGTGGAACACGGATTTGCTGACCACTTGCACGTCGTATTTAGCGCTGGAAACCACCATTTCACCTGGAAAACAAGCGCACTTGCGGTTATTTCGGATTTTGGAGAATTGAGGTTTTTATAGCAAGGAAAATAAGACAGTGCATCAAGTACCTGCTACAGCGGTATCTATAGGGTGTTTTTTAATTGGTGTAGAAACTTAAATAGTTTTTGTGCTATTCCTCGGATAATTCAAAAGTTCCTCCGACAATTACTTTTTTTGGTATTTGGTTGAGATATTTGTAAACAAATTCAGTGACATTTGCGGTTAATTAGGTAAAGTTTCATGTTTCAGGGTGTGGCGTGTATAATCTATTTAAAATTAAACTACAGCTTCCTGATGATATTTATAATAGAAAAGTCTTATACGAAAAAGCTTTTTTTGTAAATTAAAGTTCATTTATTCAACGAAAATGATGGCAGGCCCTGCGTTATTTATTAAAAACTTTGGAAATGTTTTTATGCAGCCTGAGATGCAATCTTATAATTTAAGTCGTCATAATCTAATACTACTAATATTAAAAGAAGGTTAGGTTACATTGTCAAAAAAATTGTGCAGTCAACTGATTTTGTATTTGTATTGATTCTTAACTTAATTATTCACTTAATTATTAAATATTAAGCATCGTCCATCGACCCATCAGTGTTAATAAGTGAAAGATTCCAGACAAAAGTTTTTATTTTGTAATTCCACGATAGTGACAGTGAACGAAGTAAAAAATAAGAATAGCGTGCCAATTACATTAAAAACGAAATTCTTATTTCTTACTTTGCTTAATTTTTTAGTTTGTGCACAAACTAGTTCTACAATGAACCGAGAAAACAATGCATTTACTATTTCCGAACGTGTCGATATGGTGTTAGTGTATGGTGCAGATGGAGAAAATGCGCTCACGGCGACTAGGTTGTACTGGGAACGATGGCCACAACGTCACCCCCCATATGCAAATACAATCCTACAGTGCGTTCAACGGCTGAGAGATACGGGAAGTGTTATTCCTCGAGGAGAAGGACGTGGTCAGTAAGTGAACCTTAATGTTGAAGATGCAGTGTTGGAAAATCTTGACGAAGACCCCACAATTAGTACTCGACGACTCACACAGCAAGTAGGAACCTCACCTCGTATAGTACATCGCATTTTAAGGTACCAGCTGTTGCACCCCTATCATCTGCAACCACTTTAACAGATTTTACCCCCGGATTGTGATCAACGAATGCGTTTTTGCAGATGGTTTTTACGGCAATGTGCCAATCAAGTAGACTTTTCTGCTTATGTTTGTGAAACATATGAGGCGACATTTATCCGTGATGAAGTGAATTTCCATAATATGCACATATGGGCCGATGAAAATTCTCATGCGATTAGGGAAACTCATTTTCAACATCGGTTCTCGGTAAATGTTTGGGCTGGCATAATAGGCGATGTACTTGTGGGTCCCTATTTCTTTGAAGGACGATTAAATGGACCAACATATACTGCCTTTTTGGAGAACCGGTTTCCCGAATTATTGGACGGTGTGGTATTACAAGTTCGGGCACGCATGTTTTATCTTCAAGTTGTGGCTCCTCCACACAGTATTCGAGAAGTAACGACACTTTTGAGTGAAATATTTCCTCAGCGATGGATTGGACGTTTTGGTCCTGTGCCGTGGCCACCTCGGTCACCCGATCTAACTCCAATGGACTTTTATCTTTGGAGTTACTTGAAGTCATTGATTTACAATACTCCAATTGCTACGGTGGAAGAGTTGCAAAACCTTACAAATACTTGAAGCTGCTGACACAATTAGGGGAATACCTGGAATTTGAGAAAATATTCACCAAAATTGGGTGCGTAGGTGCCATGCCTGTATCCGCGCTGATGGGGATCAATTTCAACATTTTCTATAGAAATGGTAAGTTTTATTTCATTTTGTTCCATATTTTAATGGAGTATTTTTATTGCACGCAGATGGCAACTACAGATGCTTACGGATGTGGTCTTGTTTGCTAATTCTTGCAGTAACAACAATGCATTTAAGATAGTAATTACTATTAATTATTGTAATAAGAAAATATCAGTTTTTTTTAAATATCTATTTTTCTTAGTTTTGTATTGAAAAATTCTCCAAACGTTGAGAAATATCTTTCAATCTTTCAACGACGATTTGTTTACGCGGCTGGTCTACAGCACACGGACAGGACCGTTGCAGAGAAAATATTTTGATCCATAGTTGAACTTTAATTTATGAAAAAAAAACGCAAAAATAGAACTTTTTCGTGTCAGATTTTTCTATTACAAATGACGTTAAGAAGCTGTAGTTTCATTTTTATAGATTCTACACGCCACACCCTGTATATTTTTTTGAGATTGCAAAGAAGGTCCTTTAAACTTCAGTTCTTACAATTTTTCTCTGGTTGAAAGTTCAAGAGATACAAAGGGTAACACCTAATATGAATATCCTTGTGCTTACAGTTGCAACTAGTAACTTTTTTTCCTGGGGTGGATTTAAAATCTCTTTACACCAAGTTGGCCACCTAATTGCTTGGAACTTAGAAAACACTCCCAAGACTAGAAAACTGTTCGGTCTATAAAACTAAAAGGTTGTCTTCGAACGACGATGCCACAGATATGAACTAGTGAGTGAAAGTGATAAACGTTGCTCTGCGTTTGTTTTCGAGGTATGAGGCGAAATTGCACACCAGGGACACATACATTAGTGTGGCGCTATTAATCCTAGACGTAATGATTAATAGCGCTACAAAAAGGAATACAGAAGTTTGGTGCTAAATAAAGTCTGGCAGTGGTAAAAACTGTAAATTAATAACAATAACGGACAGCTTTCAGCGAGAGGAACAATCAATTTGGCGAATCATGGGGTAGCATTACATTCCGTATTTTTGGAGCCCGCTGTCAAGTGTTGTTACTGAATTATAGTGTGGTAGTATTACGACTGTCCTTTCTTAATGTTACAGACAATTTTTTACTGTTAAAACAAGAACGCATAGATTTTTAAGTCGCTTTCGAATTCTAAATGCACTCTTTTTTTTGGAGATTTAAAAGTGCTAGAAGTAATACAGTACATAATTATAGTAATAAGTTTGAAAATATTTTCTTGCGAAAAAAATCTTTTTTCCACTACTAGCCTATAAGCCCGCCATTATCGACCTATCTTTGACGCATAAACTTCTATCTTTTTAACCTGAGTGAATAATGAAAATGACACTTAATAATTTTGACACCACAGCACGCAGAACGTGGAGAACAAGAAAGAAAATAACTCTGAGTCACACCAAGTAAAACAAGGTGTCCCACAGGGCTCTGTTCTAGGTCCGGTGCTTTATCTATTGTATGTGAATGAGATAGATTCTCTCTCGAGTAGTACGCATTTTACAATATATGCTGATGACACCTCCCTTATTACATCTAATATCAATGAGAATGCATTAGAAGCTGACTGTAATAGTTTATTAAGTAATTTGACAGAGTGGTTCTACCAAAATNAGAGGAACAATCAATTTGGCGAATCATGGGGTAGCATTACATTCCGTATTTTTGGAGCCTGCTGTCAAGTGTTGTTACTGAATTATAGTGTGGTAGTATTACGACTGTCCTTTCTTAATGTTACAGATAATTTTTTACTGTCAAAACAAGAACGAATAGATTTTTAAGTCGCCTTCGAATTCTAATTGCACTTTTTTTTTTGGAGATTTAAAAGTGCTAGAAGTAATACAGTACATAATTATATTAATAAAAGTTTGAAAATATTTTTTTGCGAAAAAAATCTTTTTTTCCACTACTAGCCTATAAGCCCACCATTATCGACCTATCTTTGACGCATAAACTTCTATCTTTTTGACCTGGGTGACTAACGAAAATGACACTTAATAATTTTGACACCACAGCACGCAGAACGTGGAGATCAAGAAACACGTTTTTAATAGATAGAAAATATCCAGAACATGTCAACAGATAATTATCAGTATAAATTAAATTAATTGGAAATTTCTTTGTGCGAAATTTAGCTGTAAAGACTGTTGATTTATGACCAAAGTACATAACAAATTGCCTTCTATCACGAAAATATGATTTTAAAAAATTGCACAAATCGGGATCAAATCCGAGCACTTGCAATTTTTGTAGAAGAAGTTAATCGATAATAAACAACGTACCATAGCAATAGCCATAGGAGGTATAACAAAATTATTACGTTTCATTGAGGACTACTAAGAAATATTAAGTCGTTTTTTATTAAATTCCAACAATTCTGACTCCACAAATATAATTGTGATGTGATTATGGATAAAACGTTGTATTGCATTTGAGTTTTAATTGCCTTTTAACCACTTAATAATAAGAATTTACACATTCTAACGTGAATAGAATGCTACTTAAAACACTTACATACAATAAATAACTATTCAGACACCCAGCTTCTTTCACAATGGTCGCCTTATTGCAATATTAAAGCACTAATTACCCCAAGGTTCAACATATTAAATACTTCATAATTCTTAGAGTTGTTCTTTGGAAGACCCGCTATAACCTTCCCCTGACGAGTTTAATGAGGAGACCATCAGAACGTCTACACGTAACCCAGAGAATTGAGTGGAAATTACCGAGCTTAGGGAAGATACGCGCCATAAAACGGACTAGTATCGGCGTATTACACAGATTAATGCATGACTTTACTTAAATAACCCAGGCAGTCTTCTCCTCGGGGAACCATGGAACCAATAAACTGAAATAGGTAATACAAACTGTCGGAGAAATGAACTGCCCGATTTGATTTAACTATCGCTCCCTTGACTGTTGTAAATATATAAATTACGTCCCCTGACGTGAAAAATAAAACTTCTGTAAGAAGGGAAACACCTGTTTAACGTATTGGTCCAGTGCAGGACGGCATTCATTGTTTGAATCGTTAGAAAAATACCAAAGAAAAGTTAATAAAACACTACTCTAGCCTAATCGTTTCAAAAATTATAGTAGTAGTCCTTCAGGAAAAAAACCTTGATTTTTCGTTGGCATGATAAGCGGGAACGTC